GGACTGACCGCTTCAAAATTACTTCTGTTCTCTCTGCTTGAAGTCACCTCAGTATTCCATTGAAGAATCCTACTGTGCAGGCGAAACGTTTCAGCAATAAAGTTACTCAAGTGCTGAACATCAAAATGGTATACAATACCGACAGGTTGTTAGGTAAGACACATATGCAACAGTTAGACAACTTTGAACATTAAAATGGTATAAAATACCGACAGATTGTTAGGTAAGACACATATGCAACAGTTAGGTATCTTTATTTCGAAACGTTTCGCCTACACAGTAGGCTTCTTCAGTCGAGTACAGAAAAGTTGATAGAAGCAGAAGATACTTGAAGACGATGTAATCAGTCCATCACCCTTAAAGTTTTGAGGTGGTCAGTCCCTCAGTCTGGAGAAGAGCATTGTTCCGTTGTCTGAAACAATATGAAGTTGAAGTGACAGAATGAGGCTTTATATAGTGCCAGGAGGTGAGACGTAGGTTGCTTTGGGAGGGCAGGTCCCTCTCAAACCCAGCCGTTCTCACTAGTAGAGGTTGTCGAAGTTGATGGTCTGTACCAAGATACCCTTGTGTTGCAGTGTCTGACAGAATGAACATTAAAATGGTATAAAATACCGACAGATTGTTAGGTAAGACACATATGCAACAGTTAGGTATCTTTATTTCGAAACGTTTCGCCTACACAGTAGGCTTCTTCAGTCGAGTCCAGAAAAGTTGATAGAAGCAGAAGATACTTGAAGACGATGTAATCAGTCCATCACCCTTAAAGTTTTGAGGTGGTCAGTCCCTCAGTCTGGAGAAGAGCATTGTTCCGTTGTCTGAAACAATATGAAGTTGAAGTGACAGAATGAGGCTTTATATAGTGCCAGGAGGTGAGACGTAGGTTGCTTTGGGAGGGCAGGTCCCTCTCAAACCCAGCCGTTCTCACTAGTAGAGGTTGTCGAAGTTGATGGTCTGTACCAAGATACCCTTGTGTTGCAGTGTCTGACAGAATGAACATTAAAATGGTATAAAATACCGACAGATTGTTAGGTAAGACACATATGCAACAGTTAGGTATCTTTATTTCGAAACGTTTCGCCTACACAGTAGGCTTCTTCAGTCGAGTACAGAAAAGTTGATAGAAGCAGAAGATACTTGAAGACGATGTAATCAGTCCATCACCCTTAAAGTTTTGAGGTGGTCAGTCCCTCAGTCTGGAGAAGAGCATTGTTCCGTTGTCTGAAACAATATGAAGTTGAAGTGACAGAATGAGGCTTTATATAGTGCCAGGAGGTGAGACGTAGGTTGCTTTGGGAGGGCAGGTCCCTCTCAAACCCAGCCGTTCTCACTAGTAGAGGTTGTCGAAGTTGATGGTCTGTACCAAGATACCCTTGTGTTGCAGTGTCTGACAGAATGAACATTAAAATGGTATAAAATACCGACAGATTGTTAGGTAAGACACATATGCAACAGTTAGGTATCTTTATTTCGAAACGTTTCGCCTACACAGTAGGCTTCTTCAGTCGAGTACAGAAAAGTTGATAGAAGCAGAAGATACTTGAAGACGATGTAATCAGTCCATCACCCTTAAAGTTTTGAGGTGGTCAGTCCCTCAGTCTGGAGAAGAGCATTGTTCCGTTGTCTGAAACAATATGAAGTTGAAGTGACAGAATGAGGCTTTATATAGTGCCAGGAGGTGAGACGTAGGTTGCTTTGGAGGGCAGGTCCCTCTCAAACCCAGCCGTTCTCACTAGTAGAGGTTGTCGAAGTTGATGGTCTGTACCAAGATACCCTTGTGTTGCAGTGTCTGACAGAATGAACATTAAAATGGTATAAAATACCGACAGATTGTTAGGTAAGACACATATGCAGCAGTTAGGTATCTTTATTTCGAAACGTTTCGCCTACACAGTAGGCTTCTTCAGTCGAGTACAGAAAAGTTGATAGAAGCAGAAGATACTTGAAGACGATGTAATCAGTCCATCACCCTTAAAGTTTTGAGGTGGTCAGTCCCTCAGTCTGGAGAAGAGCATTGTTCCGTTGTCTGAAACAATATGAAGTTGAAGTGACAGAATGAGGCTTTATATAGTGCCAGGAGGTGAGACGTAGGTTGCTTTGGGAGGGCAGGTCCCTCTCAAACCCAGCCGTTCTCACTAGTAGAGGTTGTCGAAGTTGATGGTCTGTACCAAGATACCCTTGTGTTGCAGTGTCTGACAGAATGAACATTAAAATGGTATAAAATACCGACAGATTGTTAGGTAAGACACATATGCAACAGTTAGGTATCTTTATTTCGAAACGTTTCGCCTACACAGTAGGCTTCTTCAGTCGAGTACAGAAAAGTTGATAGAAGCAGAAGATACTTGAAGACGATGTAATCAGTCCATCACCCTTGGTACAGACCATCAACTTCGACAACCTCTACTAGTGAGAACGGCTGGGTTTGAGAGGGACCTGCCCTCCCAAAGCAACCTACGTCTCACCTCCTGGCACTATATAAAGCCTCATTCTGTCACTTCAACTTCATATTGTTTCAGACAACGGAACAATGCTCTTCTCCAGACTGAGGGACTGACCACCTCAAAACTTTAAGGGTGATAAGAACATAAGAACATAAGAACGAAGGAACACTGCAGAAGGCCTACTGGCCCATGCGAGGCAGGTCCAAGTCTCCTACCGGCTTAAGCCAAAGCACCCAACCTAGTCAGGTCAGGTCACATTGACTTAAGGGAGGAACACGGCAACCGACCTGTTAGCACAAGCTATCAGGTCTAACTCACACCCACCCACATCTACTCATGTATTTATCCAACCTATTTTTAAAGCTACACAACGTTCTGGCCTCTATAACGGTACTTGGGAGTTTGTTCCACTCATCCACAACTCTATTACCAAACCAGTACTTTCCTATATCCTTCCTGAATCTGAATTTTTCCAACTTAAAACCATTGCTGCGAGTCCTGTCTAGGCTAGATATTTTCAGCACACTATTTACATCCCCTTTATTTATTCCTGTCTTCCATTTATACACCTCAATCATATCCCCCCTAATTCTACGTCTTTCTAGAGAGTGCAGTTTCAGGGCCCTTAGTCTATCCTCATAGGGAAGGTTTCTGATACATGGGATCATCTTTGTCATCCTCCTTTGTACATTTTCCAGAGAATTATATCCATTCTGTAATACGGTGACCAAAACTGTGCAGCATAATCTAAATGAGGCCTAACCAAGGATGTATAGAGTTGAAGAACAACCTGAGGACTCCTATTATTTATGCTTCTTGATATGAAGCCAAGGATTCTATTAGCTTTATTGCGAACACTTATGCACTGTTGTCTTGGGTTTTTCAGATTACTGCTAACCGAACTCCTAAATCTTTTTCGCAATCCGTAATTTTAAAGATCTACATTATTTAGTTTATATGTGGCATGGTTATTGTCCTGTCCAACATTTAGAACTTTGCATTTGTCTATATTAAACTGCATCTGCCATTTTCTCCGCCCAAACTGCATCAGTCTATTCAAATTTTTCCTGGAGTGCTCGAATGTCCTCGTCAGAATGAATTCGACGGCCTATTTTGGTGTCATCGGCAAACTTGCCGATGTCGCTCTTTTTTGGGCCCCCATCTATGTCGTTTATGTAATTGTGAACAGCAGGGGCCCAACACTGACCCCTGTGGAACACCGCTCGTGACCGCTTCCCCACTCTGATTTCTCCCCATTTATGCAAACTCTCTGCTGCCTATTTTTCAACCATGCCTCTTTCCAGGAAAAAATTTTCTCCTCCTATTCCGGTGCTTTAATTTTCCTCAATAGTCTCTGATGTGGGACCCTGTCAAAAGCCTTAAATGAAGTCCCTATACACAATATCATATTCATTACCATGATCTACCTCTCAAATACCTTAGTGAAAAAAGTTAATAAAATTCGTAAGGCAGGAACGCCCCTTTGTAAAACCATGCTGAGATTCTTTGATTAATTTATGCTTTTCAAGATGGCTACGAACTGCCTCGGCAATTATTGATTCCATAAATTTTCCCACTATGGAGGTTAGGCTTATTGGTCTATAGTTCGAAGCTAAGACCTGTCACCTGTTTTGAAAATAGGTATCACATTTGCCATTTCCACTTATCTGGCACCATGCCAGTTTGTAGTGATATGTTGAAAAGATTAGCCAAAGGTGTGCTAAGCTCCTCTTTAAGTATCTTCAAGTATCTTCTGCTTCTATCAACTTTTCTGTACTCGACTGAAGAAGCCTACTGTGTAGGCGAAACGTTTCGAAATAAAGTACCTAACTGTTGCATATGTGTCTTACCTAACAGTTAGAAAACTTTATTCCGAAACGTTTCGCCTACACAGTAGGCTTCTTCAGTCGAATACAGAAAGTAGCAGGAACAGTAGAGATGTGAAGACGATGTAATCATTCCATCACCCTTAAAGTCGTAGAATTTGAGGTTGTCATCCCTCGGCCTGGAGAAATTCAGTTCCATAGTCGCTTGATCTTCAGATAGTTCCTGACTATGGAACTGAACTTCTCCAGGCCGAGGGACTGACAACCTCAAATTCTACGACTTTAAGGGTGATGGACTGATTACATCGTCTTCACATCTCTACTGTTCCTGCCTACTTTCTGTATTCGACTGAAGAAGCCTACTGTGTAGGCGAAACGTTTCGGAATAAAGTTGTCTAACTGTTGCATATGTGTCTTACCTACTCAAGTGCTGCACACTCGCCTATATGTGATTGCAGGGGTAGAGTCACAGCTCCTGGCCCCGCATCTAGTTCCCAGGCGTTGCATGATCCTTACAGATTTAGCGAATCTTCATGAATATATCAATATTTAATTATTGAATTTCCCGCCTGTCCCTAATGGGCCATACATTATAGTAACTATTCAATAAGCTGCAAATAAATTTCTCTGCTACCTGGTTCATAAAATGTAAATTCAAGTTAATTTAACATTTACTTCACTGCGTTGACTTAATGAATGATAATAGTATATATAAAGAAACTGGATCGTGATATGTAAAGGTGTATTATTTGTTTTGTGTTGTGTTGATGTGTCCAACAACACAGTGCCGGAGATGACAGCATCCTGGCTGGTTGTTACACGTCTTTGTGAGTTGTAGTCGTCTTCCTTATTTCCCCCTCAGTGGCTTATTTACTCTGGAATAACCGACAGAGTCATGTTGCATAAGTTGTTTTCATGGAGATCATCTCCTAGGATGCTACTCTCAGTAGTCTTGCTAACATCTAGCTTGAAATTAATCCGGATATTAATCTGATTAATATCCTCCACTCAGGGAAGGTTCCTTGATGCTGGTGAGGGGCTCTTGATCTAGGGAATTGGATCTGTGCACCAATTCCCTGAATTAAGCCTGAATGCTTTCAATTCCCGCCCCACCTCACATGTGGTGTATACTCCTTACGGGTTTAGCGCTCCCCTGTGATAATAATAATGATTAATATCCTGATAGCTTATAACCCAGGGGTAATCCAAGCCGATCACTGTGGCTTATTTCCCATTGGAGTCCTTAGATCCTTAGGATGCGACCCATAACAGCCTTCTGTCTCCTGTATATCTAGTGCTTCACTTGAGGTGCTTTGATGCTGGTGAAAGACTTTTGATCCATGGAATCGGAGCTACTCTCCCCCATCTCTGATTAATCCAGATTACCCATCTAGAAACCCATCAGTTACACAACCCAGGGCAACATGGGTTTAGAACAGGTCGCTCCTGTCTGTCTCAACTATTGGATCACTACGACAAGGTCCTAAATGCACTAGAAGACAAAAAGAATGCAGATGTAATATATACAGACTTTGCAAAAGCCTTCGACAAGTGTGACCATGGCGTAATAGCGCACAAAATGCGTGCTAAAGGAATAACAGGAAAAGTCGGTCGATGGATCTATAATTTCCTCACTAACAGAACACAGAGAGTAGTCGTCAACAGAGTAAAGTCCGAGGCAGCTACGGTGAAAAGCTCTGTTCCACAAGGCACAGTACTCGCTCCCATCTTGTTCCTCATCCTCATATCCGACATAGACAAGGATGTCAGCCACAGCACCGTGTCTTCCTTTGCAGATGACACCCGAATCTGCATGACAGTGTCTTCCATTGCAGACACTGCAAGGCTCCAGGCGGACATCAACCAAATCTTTCAGTGGGCTGCAGAAAACAATATGAAGTTCAACGATGAGAAGTTTCAATTACTCAGATATGGTAAACATGAGGAAATTAAATCTTCATCAGAGTACAAAACAAATTCTGGCCACAAAATAGAGCGAAACACCAACGTCAAAGACCGGGGAGTGATCATGTCGGAGGATCTCACCTTCAAGGACCATAACATTGTATCAATCGCATCTGCTAGAAAAATGACAGGATGGATAATGAGAACCTTCAAAACTAGGGAGGCCAAGCCCATGATGACACTCTTCAGGTCACTTGTTCTATCTAGGCTGGAATATTGCTGCACACTAACAGCACCTTTCAAGGCAGGTGAAATTGCCGACCTAGAAAATGTACAGAGAACTTTCACGGCGTGCATAACGGAGATAAAACACCTCAATTACTGGGAGCGCTTGAGGTTCCTAAACCTGTATTCCCTGGAATGCAGGAGGGAGAGATACATGATTATATACACCTGGAAAATCCTAGAGGGACTAGTACCGAACTTGCACACGAAAATCACTCACTACGAAAGCAAAAGACTTGGCAGACGATACACCATCCCCCCAATGAAAAGCAGGGGTGTCACTAGCACGTTAAGAGACCATACAATAAGTGTCAGGGGCCTGAGACTGTTCAACTGCACACATAAGGGGGATTACCAACAGACCCCTGGCAGTCTTCAAGCTGGCACTGGACAAGCACCTAAAGTAAGTTCCTGATCAGCCGGGCTGTGGCTCGTACGTTGGTTTACGTGCAGCCAGCAGCAACAGCCTGGTTGATCAGGCTCTGATCCACCAGGAGGCCTGGTCACAGACCGGGCCGCGGGGGCGTTGACCCCCGGAACTCTCTCCAGGTAAACTCCAGGTAATAGGTAATACATATTGAGAGTCTTGCACTCTCAAATCTTCCCCCAGGAAGGTTCCTTGATGCTGGTGAGGGGCTCTTGATCTAGGGAATTCTATCTGTGCTCCAGTTCCCTGTATTGAGTCTGAATACCTTCCATATCCCCCCCCCCACATGCACTGTAAGTTTCGTAATTTGCAAGTTTCCTGATTTGCGTTCTTTCGTTATCCAATGTTTTAACTGAAAGATCTCTGTAGCCTAACTTCAGTTATATACACCTTTTCTGTGGAGTCCATTTTCGTTTTTACTTACAAAATGCAAATGCTAGAAGATTTTGTTGGAAGTTTTTCATTCCTTGGTCCCAGAACTGAAATGTTTCCAATAAAATGTCCTAGCGCTTGTATTTTGTGTCTTTCACGAACTTTATTATGTGTTGATATCTCAAGCCATTTTGCACCTTTTTTCATAGCCTGGCTCTCAACCACTAAAAAGTTAATCAGAGGATTGAAAGAGAGTGTTTGTCTCAAACATAAAATGAGCTAAAAATCTGATGCCAAATGGATATGTGGACATACCATATTTTAGTGATACACACTATTCATGGAATTTGGATTCATGAAGTCCTGTAGTAGCCAAACCCCCACAAATTTGAGAGTTCGACTGTACTTGTTAGAGAAAGTGGGATTATAATACAGTGGACCCCTGCATAACGATTACCTCCGAATGTGACCAATTATGTAAGTGTATTTATGTAAGTGCCTTTGTATGTGTATGTTTGGGGGTCTGAAATGGACTAATCTACTTCACAATATTTCTTATGGGAACAAATTCGGTCAGTACTGGCACCTGAACATACTTCTGGAGTGAAAAAATATCGTTAACCGGGGGTCCACTGTATATCTTTACTCATGAAGTTGTTTGAAAGCAATTGCCAGCATAATTTAATATACTAACTGGTTTCCTTTTATAGAGCTATACTAGGATAAATGTACCAAGTGATGTTCCCTTTATGTGTACATAAAATATCTATGTGCCCCTTTGAATTATTGTACAAATTTTTACTACTGTCTGTAAAGTCATTTGCAAATTTCCTAAACAGAGCTTGTCCTATATGTTTGTACAGTGTATTGGTATTAAATAAGTTTACACAGTGAGTGTCAGGTGAGATAGATTATTCCAGAATTGCTTGGAGCTTTGTGATGAGAATATTTTGTATACAGTGGAAACCTGGTTTTCGCACGCTTCAGTTATCGGACGTTTTGGTTTTAGGACTGTTTTTTGTGTGAAACTTTGTTCCGGATATCGGACCTTGCTCCGGTAATCGGACATAGTATTATACACGTTTGCGTGCCAGGTGGACACCTCCACTACACCTCTCAGTCTGCCTTGGTCACTGATTGTATGAGCATTACTTTGCACATTCCAAAACATTTTGTAATATGTAATCCCTTGTTTTTGGGGCTTGTTTTTTAATTGTGACTGCAAATTAAGCCAACATGGGCCCAAAGAAAGTTTCTAGTGCCAGCCCTTTGATAAAGAAGGCAAGAAACATGATAGAAACAAAGAAAAAGTTCGTAGAAAAATATGAAAGTGACATACGTTTAACCAACCTTGCCATGATGTATGGGAAGTCGAAAACAACAATCTTCTCCAGCCTGGCAAAGAAAGTAGAAATCAAGGAAGCTAAAGTTGCAAAAGGGGTGAATGTGCTAACAAAACAGAGATCACAAACAGTGGAAGATATGGAGTTGTTGTTGTTGGTGTGATTAACAAAAAACAGTTAGCAGTAGATAGTGTTGTGGAGTCGATCATTTGTGAAAAGGCAAGGCAGTTACATGCGGATCTTATAAAGAATATGCCTGGAATGAGTGCTCTTGTTAGTGATTTTCAGGCCAGCAGAGGTTAGTTCAGCAGATTCAAGAAGCATAGTGGCATACACAGTGTTGTAAGGCATGGTGAGGCTGCAGGTTCAGACAAACATGCAGCTGAAAATTTCGTGCATGAATTCAAGGGGTACGTAGGGGCTGAAGAATTCCTCGCCCAACAAGTGTTTAATTGTGACAAAACAGGCCTCTTTTGGAAGGAAATGCCAAAGAGGACCTGCATCATGCATAAGGAAAAGGCATGGCCAGGACACAAGCCTATGAATGACAGATTAACTCACTTGTTCTGTGCTAACTCTAGCAGGGATTTCAAAGTGAAGCCTTTACTGGTATATCACTCTGAAAATCCCAGAGTGTTCAAGAAAAACGATGTCTTCAAGAGTAAATTGTGTGTGACATGGAAAGCTAATAATAAGGCATGGGCCACGAGGCAAATTTTCAAAGAGTGGTCCGTGGTGTGTTTGGCCCGAGTGTGAAAAAATACCTCCTGGAAAAGAAATTGCCAGTCAAGTACCTCCTGCTTATCCTCCAGACTTGGAAGACCAATTGTCTAGGGACTTCAGTTTTGTATCATTGAAATTCTTGCCCCCTAACACCGCTCCTCTCATCCAGCCCATGGACCAGCAGGTCATTTCTAACTTCAAAAAACTCAACACCAGAGCAATGTCTCAAAGGTGCTTCGAAGTGACCTTGGATACTGAGGGATCACTTCAGTATCCTCCATTGCATAAGCCTTATAGGTAAGGCTTGGCAGGAAGTGACTTCTAGGACTTTGAACTCTGCGTAGAGAAATTTGTGGCCAAACTGTGTCCAAGAGAAGGATTTTGAAGGGTTTGAGGCTGACGCTGTCAACCCTCTGCCTGTTGTGGAATGTATTGTGTCATTGGGGATATGAGTGATGAGGAGGTGGAAGAGTTGGTGGAGGACCACAGGGAAGAGCTAACCACTGAAGAGCTGCAAGACCTTCAACTCGAACAGCAACAGACTGTAGCTAAGCAAATTGCTTCAGGGGAGGAGGTAGAGAGAGGGGAAAGGGTACCATCTTCAGTGATCAAAGGACATTTGTGCGAAGTGGAGGGAGGTTTTGTGGAGAAATACCACCCTGACCATGCTGAAACAAGCCATATCTGCAACATGTTCATTGACAGAACCTTGTTTCACTTCAGACAAATCTTAACCCTTTCAGGGTTCAGAGGCCAAATTTCAAAGTGTGCACCAGGGTCCAAGAATTTTCAAAAAATAATTTTGTTATTTTTTCTTATGAAATGGTAGAGAATCTTTTTCTGAAGGTAATAAAACAAAAAGTACGAAATTTGATGGAAAACTGACAAAATTATGCTCTCGCGAATTTTGATGTGTCGGTGATATTTACGCATCGGCGATTTTGCCGACTTTGACTTCCATTTTAGGGCAATTACAATATTCTAGTCAACCAAAATTCTCAGCTATTTCACTAGTATTACTTCTGTTCTATCGATTGAGCACAAGAAATTGCCAAGTCAACTGTTTCAACAACAAAATAAAGTGACCAGAAATTGGTAATTTGGCCAATTTAATGCAAAGTTCAAAATATTCCAATTTCAAAATAGGGTCCAAAATAAACAATGCAGGCATTCCTTTGACTAAACTACATTTCCTCTGTTCATTAGTTATGTTTTCAGGCTTTACAAATGAATTCCATTTTGGTTTTTTTATTCACATAATGAATTTTTATTCAAACCAAAAAATAGAAGATTTACTGTTATGCAATACTGTAATAATTGTATAAATAATATTACCACATTTGTGAATGTATATTAGACCCACCAGCTGTCATGTATTAGACTTGTGAGGTCATTTGTTTACTCTTGAACATCGGCAAAAATTTAACATTTCTGCTACTTTGAGCTCAGTTTCAAGCCATTTCCAGTAATAAAATCAATCAAAATCATCTCTATTTCTGTAGTATATCTTCCATTCTATCAAATGAGACCAAGAAATTGCAAATACAGCTATAAAAAACATACGAAAAAACACTGCAAACTTCGCTGTTTTAATAAAAAATTACGGTCTCAGTTTTTTTTCTCTCATTATGCACTGTGTGCTGCAGGATTTGTTTTTGTGGTGCACACATACCACATAGATGTATTCTTTCATATCTAGGCCCAAATTTACTGCTCACAGCTTATCAGAGTGAGCTGAACTCATAGCGTAGATCTATGGTTTGGACCCTGAACGTAAAGCCGTAGATCTACGGCACGGACCCTGAAAGGGTTAAAGAGATTCCAGAAACAGACCTCTCTGGATAGATTGACTCTCAAGCTGGTCCTAGTGCCATTAAAAGACAAAGAAGGGAAGTAACCCCAGAGAAGGACTTGATACCTGAAGTCCTTATGGAGGGGGATTACCCTTCCAAACAATAACCCCAATTCCCTCTCCCCTCCTTGCCTTCTTCAATATGCCAAAAAGAGTCTTCAGTAAAGGTTTGTAATGCTTATATTTATTTATATTTATCATTGGTTTGTGTATGTAAAACTATATTCTTTAAAAAACGAATTTTTTGTGAATATTTTTGGGTGTCTGGAACAGATTAATTGTATTTACATTATTTCTTATGGGAAAAATTGATTCAGTTTTTCCACGTTTTGGTTTCAGAACCACCTAAAACGGATTAAGTTCGAAAACCAGGGTTCCACTGTATATTTATTTACTTAATTTGTCCAATTGTCTTACTTATTTGTTTCCATGTATAGTATGTATAGCATGATGTTTAGGCAGAATTGTCTCTTTCGTTTACAAACTAATTTAAATACAGTATACAGTGTGTGTATGATATCACGATAAAATTAGCATTGTTAATGTTTTTGTGGAATTTGTAACTTGTGAATTAGACTTTGGCAATTAGTCAATTTCTTATGTTTTTATAAGTTCTTGAATTGATTTCAGAAAAAAATAAACTGAACCAGGAACTGTAATGATGATGCAAGTGTCTATTATTATCATATAAAACATACTGATAGACGCCAACACTTTATTTCCTCAAAGAGTAAAGGGTCAACGCTTCCAGTGAGTGTTAAACTTTATCACTTAATTTCTTTCAGTCTGTCGAAGGAGTTTGTAATTAGTAGCAAAGCTAGAGTGATTTAAATAGTATCAGATTAATCTTCTGCACTTTCTGAGCTATCACTATAGGCCTATATTAGCACTGTGCTGTGGCTTTTGGAATAAAGACATCTAACTGTTGCATATGTCTTACTTATCAACTTGTCAGTATTGTATACCATTATCATATTCACATAGAAATTTCATGTTGCATATTTGGGTGTCATGATTTAAGTGAGGAGACCCATGTTTATGAACTGTGCTAGTTTATCTCAGTTTTTGAGTGAAGCTGTGGGAGAGGGAAAAGACAAAGAGAATAATAGGAGAAGGGAGAAAGGACAGGTAGAGAGAGAGATATAGCTGAAGAAAAATGGAATTGATAAGAGAAGGACAGGGGAAACAGAGGTGATGAGAGGGAGAAATGAAGTGGGTAAATAAGTACTGTACATCAATTACAAAATGACAGCTATTTGGGCAGGTGAAAGTGAGCTACTGTCACTGCTGAAAAACACACAATGCTATTGTTTTTTAACACCATAAGTTTATTCCTTAGCTACAATGTGGCATCAACCACTTCTCTTGTTTCTTGTGTGATTAAAATTGCTTGCATGAAATATTTAAAACTGGAAACAGTTTTCAAAGTCACAAACAAAAGTGAGATTTATTGTTAATGAGTGATGATAATGAGTACAGTAAAGCCTCGCTTTACGGCGTTTCGCCTTATGGCGTTACACTAAGATGTAAAATTATGACCAAAATTTGTTATATGGCAAGCGGTCTTTTAACCCTTTGAGGGTTTCGGACGTACTAGTACGGCTTACGACCCAGGGCTTTTGATATACTAGTACGTCTAAATTCTAGCGCCCTCAAATCTAGTGGGAGAAAGCTGGTAGGCCTCCATATGAAAGAATGGGTCTATGTGGTCAGTGTGCATGGTATAAAAAAAATCCTGCAGCACACAGTGCATAATGAGAAAAAAAAGAACTTTGACCGTTTTTTTGGAATAAAACAGCGACTTTGCACTGTATTTTCGTATGGTATTTATTGTTGTATTCTAGTTTTCTTGATCTCATTTTATAGAATGGAAGACATATCATAGAAATTGAGATGATTTTGACTGGTTTTACAATGAAAAGTACCTTGAAATTGAGTTCAAAGTAGCAGAAATGTTCGATTTTTACCAAAGTTCAAAAGTAAACAAATTATGCCAGGCGTCCAATACACGTCAACTGGTGAGTCTAATATTCTTTTGCCAGTGTGCCAATATGATTCATACCATTTTTTACACTAATGCAGTAGTCCGCATAACAGTAAATCTCTATTTTTTGTGAGAATAAAAATTCGAAGTGGAAAGCAAAAGAATGTAAGAGGGGCCATGAGACGTGACTAATGAACAGAGGAAATGTCATTTTAGTGCCAGGAATGTATTTCTTGTTTGTTCTGGACCCTATTCGGAAATTGGCATCTTTTGAAATTTGTGTGAAATTGGCAAAATTGCTAAATTCTGACCACTGTACTGGATAGTTGAAATTGGTAAATGGGTGGTTTCTTGCACTCATTCAATAGAAAAAATGGAGTTCTAGCGAAATATTCATGTTTTTTGTCGACTAGTACAGTGGAACTGGCCGAAAATGGGGCTCAAAGTGGGCAAAATCGCCGATCCGTAAACATCGCCGAGACCGCTAACTTCCCGAGAGCATAATTCCATAAGTTTTCCATCAAATTTCATATTTTTGGTGTCATTATGATCGGGAAAAGATTCTATCTTTTCATAAGAATTTTTTTTTTTTTTTTTTAAATTTGGCCGACCCTGAGAACGAGTCTCGGAGAGGGCCTGTCGACCCTCAAAGGGTTAAATACGGCGCCCCCCCACCCGGTTTGTTTACATTTTCTGTGACTACATCTATTATGTCAGGAAACTTACCAAAATTTCAAGTGTTTTAAAGTTACTGCATATTTTATATGTACTCTGATAATTATACTTATGTGTACCTGTACCTAAATATACTTACACACTGTGCTGGTGTTCAGGTACACATTAAAATCGCTAAGTCTGTCTCTACTCATGACACCAATACTACGTAATAATAATCACTCTTGGGCACACTAAATGTCTTATTTTACATCAATATAGGCACTTTCATTAATCCATCTATGATATTTCCTCAAAATTATATATGAAACCCATTACATAGCATATAAACATGATACATACACTCAGAATAAAAATTGATGTAAATATGAGATTTGTTTACAAAGCAGCTGTGTAGGTAGTGTCGGAAGAATTACTTTTACTCTAGTCAAATACTGAGGGATAACTGTAGAAAAATATTCTTTTCGTATGCCTTTACTCTATGTATAGAAATTCACGACCCTTGTGGGTTTAGTGCTTTTTATAATAAAAAATATAATAAAATTATTATTATTATTATTATTATTAATAATATTTTTTTTTTTTTTTTTTTTTTTTTTTTTTTTTTTTTTTTTTTTATCACCCCGGCCGATTCCCACCAAGGCAGGGTGGCCCGAAAAAGAAAAACTTTCACCATCATTCACTCCATCACTGTCTTGCCAGAAGGGTGCTTTACACTACAGTTTTTAAACTGCACAATTAACACCCTCCTTCAGAGTGCAGGCACTGTACTTCCCATCTCCAGGACTCAAGTCCGGCCTGCCGGTTTCCCTGAATCCCTTCATAAATGTTACTTTGCTCACACTCCAACAGCACTCAAGTATTAAAAACCATTTGTCTCCATTCACTCCTATCAAACACGCTCAAGCATGCCTGCTGGAAGGTCCAAGCCCCTCGCACACAAAACCTCCTTTACCCCCCCCCTCCAACCCTTCCTTGGCCGACCCCTACCCGCCTTCCTTCACTACAGACTGTACACTCTTGAAGTCATTCTGTTTCGCTCCATTCTCTCTACATGTCCCAACCACCTCAACAACCCTTCCTCAGCCCTCTGGCAACAGTTTTGGGAATCCCGCACCTCCTCTAACTTCCAAACTACGAATTCTCTGCATTATATTCACACCACACATTTTCCCCCAGACATGACATCTCCATGCCCCCAGCCTTTCCTCGCTGCAACATTTTTCACCCACGCTTCACACCCATATAAGAGCGTTGGTAAAACTATACTCTCATACATTCCCTCTTTGCCTCCAAGGACAAAGTTCTTTGTCTCCACAGACTCCTAAGTGCACCACTCACTCTTTTTCCCTCATCAATTCTATGATTCACCTCATCTTTATGACCCACCCGCTGACACTCCACCCCCAATAGAATACGTTCACCCCTCCATACTTCTCCCTCCAATCTGATATTCAATCTTTCATCCCCAATTTTTTTTGTTACCTATAACCTTCCCTTTTTCCCTGTTTTCCCTTTAATTTTCTTTTTTTTGCACACCCTCCAAATCATCCACATTCGAACTTCTTTTCGAATTCCCAAAGGGAAGTGTCATAGAAAAGAGCGCTGTGAAAACTCCCCTTTGTGTGTGATTCTTTATCTTTTAACTCCAGCCTCTTCCCAGACCCCGCATTTACTTCTCTTAAAACCCCCCATCTATAAATAATTAAACAAACGGTGACATCACACATCCTTGTCTAAGGCCTACTTTTTCTGGGAAAAAAAATTTCCCTCTTTCCCCTTTCTCTAACTTGAGCCCCATATCCCCGTAAAAACTCTTCACTGCTTTTAGTAACCTACCTCCTACACCATACACTTCAAATCTGCCACATTGCCCCCCTATCCACCCTGTATACGCCTTTTTTTAAATCCATAAATGCCCAAAGACCTTTTAGCCTACTAAAAACTGTTCACTATATGTTTCATGTAAAAACCCGGGGCCACACACCCCCCACCTTCCCAAACCCCCCTTTTTCATCTGCTATCCTATTCTCCCTTTACTCTTTAATTTTTTCAATTATAACCTACCTACCTTTACCCGGTAAATCAAAAGACTTTTCCCCCTATAATTTTGCACTCTCTTTTATCCCCCTTTTCCTTTATACAAAGGGAAATGCATGCCTCTGCCCAAACCCTAGGACCTTACCCTCTTCCATACATTTATTAAACAATTTCACCAACCCTCCAAAACTATATCCCCACCTGCTTTTAAATTTCTATCTTTATCCCATCAATCCCCGGTGCCTTACCCCCTTTTTTATATGGGCCCCACAACTTTCCCCCCAACAAATGGCTCTTCCTCCCTCCCCAAAAATGTTATTCCCCCCTTGCCCTATAACCCCAAACAAGTTCCCTATCTTTATAAAATTTAACAATTTCCCCAAAATATTCCTTCCCCCTTCCCAATACCTCTAAATCTCCTTTAATAACTTTCCTCTCCTATTTTTTTAAATGACAAATCCATTTGTTTCTGCTTTCTTAAATTGTTAATCTCACTCCAAAACTTTTTCTTATTTTCAACAAAATTTTTTGATAAAATCTCACCCCCTCTCTCATTTGCTCTCTTTTTACATTGCTTCACCACTCTCTTAACCTCTCTCTTTTTCTCCATATACTCTTCCCTCCTTGCATCACTTCTACTTTGTAAAAACTTCTCATATGCTAACTTTTTCTCCCTTACTACTCTCTTTACATCATCATTCCACCAATCGCTCCTCTTCCCTCCTGCACCCACTTTCCTGTAACCACAAACTTCTGCTGAAGACTCTAACACTACATTTTTAAACCTACCCATACCTCTTCGACCCCATTGCCTATGCTCTCATTAGCCCATCTATCCTCCAATAGCTGTTTATATCTTACCTAACTGCCTCCTCTTTTAGTTTATAAACCTTCACCTCTCTCTTCCCTGATGCTTCTATTCTCCTTGTATCCCATCTACCTTTTACTCTCAGTGTAGCTACAACTAGAAAGTGATCTGATATATCTGTGGCCCCTCTATAAACATGTACATCCTGAAGTCTACTCAACAGTCTTTTATCTACCAATACAT